TAAGATGCAGAACTCCAAAAGGAGCTTTGTCTTCACATCCTAGTCAGACGGTATCATCTTCCTCCCTAGATGAGAAGTTGCCTGAGAGCAGGCTTTATGTTCGAATAAATAGAAGTGACAGGGGACTCTGTTCCCCCCACCCCCAAAAGCCTGTCAGTCAGGCCTGAGTCACTGAGCAAGAACCAAGTGAGGAGGGAGGCTTTCCCTAGTTCCCCTCTCCCAAAGCTCAAGATTTGGATATGATTACAAACCACTATGTTTCCTTTTACTGCAAACACAAAAAAGTCTGGGCCCCAGTTATGGGAAGCCTCTTTCTAAGAAATAGGAGAAGCACATGTTATAAATAAATAAAATAAAACAATCACCTGTGTTAATCCCAGAATTAACATGGCAGCAGAAAACATGGAGGTGGGAAAAAACCACCTGGAAGGGATATTATTCAACTCACCCAACTAAAAAGCACATGAATGCATTTGGCACCTGCATTTGTTTTTCAGATAGTCAAAGCAAAGAGTCAGAGGAGAATCATTTCCTAGAGCAAGAATCTCTTTAGAAGTAGGTTTGAGCTCTAGGTAAAAGAGACAATTGGAGCAGGTAATCCTGTCTCAAAGGCAATGCTTCCCAGTCTGTTTCCCATCACAGTACTAAGATTTGACAGCAGACTAGGGTAAGCAGACAAGACTGCTTGGAGGTGGCCCCCAGGGGCCTGAAGCCAGTCCAGGTGGCCCTGAAGGCTGGCGCTCATCTCAAACATGGGCTAGGCAGCTCTGGTGTAAATTGCTAATTGCAAACAGTCAGTGGTCAAGCTGCTCTGCACTTCTGAGGTTATCATGGCCTCTGACCAAGTCAATCCCTGGCTCACAAACAGTTGCCACACTAGTGCCACATACTCTACCCTCATTCGTTCTGAAGGTCATCATGGCAAACTGATCTCTTAGAAAGACAAAACTTGTGGTCTAGCAGATTTATTTGGGATTCAAGGGCAAAATGTGTGATATGGACGGTGTCCCCTCTCACAGACTGATCTCTAATTGAGGGGAGTGTAAAAGGACTTTTTTTTTAGGATTGTCATTGAAAACATGGACATAGTGAACTGAGACAAACAAAGCATCAGAGAACAAGTTCAAACAGTAGGCTCCAAAAACACCAAGGAAAAATGGATTTTTGTGAGGGCAAAGGCAGGCAGTATGGACAGGAAAATAAACGCAGTGGCTTCTGAATGCGGCCATTTAGCTGATTTATAAATGATTTTGCCAGTGTCCTTTGCTGTGGGAGATTGATGTGCTCCTCCTTCTAAAGCTGGGACCCACAGACTTGTTTTCTGGGGAACCAGGGAATCAACTCCAAGGAAGCAAATCCATTATTTTCAAACCTTAATTAACTGGAACCCAATTAGGGCTTCTGAGAGTTTTTCTCCCCCTACTTTAAAGGAAAACTTTTTTCACTCAAGTCAGCATGGTGTAAATGAAAGAAAGTGAACAAAGAGCTATTTGGATTTCTTGCATATAAGCAACTCTTTTAACCTTTGGGGGCTTCAGCTTTCTATTGTAAATTGAGAGAGCCAATGAGACAGAGATATCTAAAGTCATTTTCAGCAGTAAAATTCTGATTCTAAGACATGCCAACAGCTTATTACCTATCAATAATCTGTGGTCATTCTACTATCTTGACTACCATATTCCTCTTAATGTGAGTTGAGATCACAAGACTTTTACAGTTTTTAGAGTATTTCATATATTTAATTCAATTGAACTTTACAACAACCTGATGGGGTAAGTTCTATAAAATGTTATAACAGAAACCCTCTCATTTGATGTGCTTGAGCAGCAGTTATTCTAGAAGTTAAAGATGGGAATCATACGGAAGAGATACATATATAACTAAACATTTTGTTTTAAGTCAATTTATATAAATGTACATTCATTCACTATTTTTTAAAAAATGTAAGCCTTTTAAGAGTATGCTAATTGGATATCTACATGCTCTTTTCTGAATAAACTACACTCATAATTCATTATCTATCATTTATAGTTTTTGTTTCTTTAACAGAGAG